GAATTGAGCCGTGTGATAGTTTGGTAATTCGCTAATCGCGCGGACACCGTCATTCCAAGTCTCAGTCTCGATGATAGAACACGAGGGGAAAGAGACGAATGGGAGAATTCACGCTTTTCACCCTTTCCATCAACGGTCGCCATTTCGGTACCTCTATCGAACGTCCTCGAACTGCGAATCTGTACTGTATTTTACGATAAGCACCGTAAATTCTGAGTGTACCTATTACGGATACAAGAGAACGACATGAACACATGAGAGATTAAGAGAGCGTGTATGCGAGAGAGAAAGAGTAAAAGTGTGCAACGAGGATGCGCGTGGATCGATCGATTTCTCTGTGCCTGAGACACACCAGTCGATCGACGAAGCATCGTTTATACATATATAAATATTATACATAATTAATTGGGAGGATAACGAGAGATAGGTGTGTATAGAAGGATAATTTAGACTCTAGTCAGCATAACACAATCGTAATCGACGACGCACACGTTTTTCCTTGTTCATTTCGTTTTCCGTTCTCACGTTTGTCGCGGGAAGAACGCGTTGACTCACAACCGTTCCCAAAACAAATTCGTTCTTTCTCTGTACTCGATGCGTTCGAGGTTTTATTTCCACGCAGGGACAAAGAAGGATGTAAATGAACGCGTGGCTGCGTTTACGGCTGTTCGTTTGCTCGAGAGGAGGGTGGGTTGGGGGAGTGCGGACTATGAAAAACCTAAATATGTCGTTGGTAATTCATTATATTCCATCGTTTCGTTTCCTTTCACCGTTCATTTTTTACCCACTCTCTCTCTCTAAGTTGGTCTTCTCTCTTTTTTTCCCCTTCAAAATCTCCAGTTGATTTTTTGTCTTTATCCATTAAACTGTTTAACGCTTCAATATTGTTCTTTTCCTTTTGTTCTAACCATTGTTCATACAACGCGTAGTTCCGTTGTAACGTTTCTTGTTTGCAAAATGACCGATTGAACGTCGAACGGGGCGGGATCGAACAAAATCGCGGTGGAATTTCCCGAACTGTGCGATGAACGGACTGCAGACGCAGCCATCGATGATAGGAGATAAGTGTTCGATAAGGAAAAAAAAGGTGTGTAAACGAACGTGCGTGAAGCACGCGCGTATCGAGGGCCTACGGAAAATCGGCGAACACAAGTAAATATATTCTCGTGCGTGACGATTAAATAGGAAGGAGTGGTGTGTAGAGAGAGAGAGAGAGAGAGAAAAGGAAAAGTGGCGGCGAAATTTGTTCGGAACGCGATAGAAACGTGGTAGAGAAAAGTCGAACGCTTTTTTGATCGTACATTCGACCGAGAGAAAAATTAGTCGTTAGAAGAAGAAAAGAAAAATATCATCCGGGGCAAAAAGAGAAACGGTTAAATAGCGGTTAGAAGTGTAAAATTAATCGGCTCGAACGTTGTTTAATTGAGATTCGCTCGAATTAAGGAATCCGCGCGCTGGGTATGTGTTGACAAAATTTGTCACACCCACCTGTAAGACTGCAATACGACGAACGAGCGAACGAACGAATTAGAGAAGAGAAAAGAAGAATAGAATGAGAGAAGAAATCGCGACCGATAGGAAGACGGTGTTTTCTTACGATTATATTGTACCATTAACGATCGTTTCCTTTCGGCGTTAGTATGTTTTCCGCGGCATCGACGACGCGCGACGTTTGAATGCAAGTATTCGCACAGGCCTACGATAAGAGAGCTCTTTATATACGTATCCATGATGTTTCACGTGTACACTAAATAAACAAGCATTAACTGTCATTCAGCTAATCGACGATCGGACGACGTTGCGTAGCGGCTCTAGAAAACGAAAAAAAAAAAGAAAAAAAGAAACGAGGTAACATATTCAAGAGAGAGATGTACACACACACACACACACATACGTACATACATACACACATTAAAGACCCAGAAGCTTTTTTGCCCCCCTATCGAAGTGTGGCGTTAAACGACTTTCGACTACGCGTTTCACTATTACAATTAGCCTAATCGGCGGACGATGGCCACCTCAGAAAAAAAAAAAAGAAACCCTTCTCGTTCCTTGAGCCGTTGAAATTCTTCGATGGCACGCTATTTCTGCTAGCACGGCGACGTCGTAACGGAACTGCACAGAAACGAAGAGAAACGCGAAACAGAATCGTGAAAATGTGTTTACCATCGACGAGGAAAATTCCTTTTTCACCGGATCGTGTGTCTTCGTGTATCTAGTTGGCGAACGTCGTTCGCGAGCATTCTAGATTTTTCTAAACGATAGCATTTTCTAATTAGTAATCGCAAAATGGAAATTCTCTTCGCGTTCGCCAGCCAGAGGGTTTTAACGAATTGCAGTTGCGTTACGATTCAGCACGCAATACGTTTCAATTCGACATAGTACAAACAAATTTGCAAATTTTGGAAGATCGTATTAGTTCAGAGAAGAATCGGCAGCTTTTACGATCGATACCGGCGACGCGTTTCACTTTTCACGATCGTACGAGCTTCCGGTTGTTCTCCGAACGACGGAGATCCCTAAACGAGAAAGAAAAAAGCGCGAGATAAATTGCACGGAAAGAAGCAAAAAGGAAAAAAAAAAAAATAAAGAGATACACGTATGTCCTTTTCACCGTTAAACAGTATCTTGACCAATTAAATACTAAGCTAGCATGGATGTATACACACTGAGATAAATGTTAACCAGTTACCTGCGTAATACTCAATGTTAAGTGTCGAACTGACGCTCGTTCAGATTTCTTGACGATTGTCCTCGCTCGTGTGAACCTCAGTGGTTTTCTTTCTTCCATTTTTGCGCAAACGAACGAAAAGAAAAAAAGGAAACATTGCCAACGACTCAATCTGCCAATCGTTTACGCGGATTTTTTAAACAAACTACGTGAACATAATAAAGAAAAAAAAAACAGAAAAAACGAAAAAAAAAAAGAACAAATGTGTAAGAAGCAGCAAAACGAAGGAGAATCAAAAAGAAACTGCAGAGAAGAAGAAGAAGAAGAAGAAGAAGAAGAAGAAGGAGAAGAAGACGAAGAAGAAGATGAAGAAGAAGACGATGACGACGAAGAAACGTTAAAAGACATTCCACGCCCCTTTTTTTAGACGATCAACGAAACGAAACATTGTTTGACTGCCATATACATATTTTACGATAATTTTATAGACGAGAAAACGGGATGGTAACCAGCGAATTTAGGTTCCAACCCGACTTCGATACGATCTACCACGATTCGAGATATGGAGAAGTAGTTTCCGTTTTTTCTAAATACCAATCTCCTTGTAATCTATCCTGGTGAAAAAAGAAAACGAGAAAAAGAATGAAAAAATGAGAAAAAAATGAAATTGCGACTACACGACACGTATTGATACGCGAACAAACTATTGTCACAGCTAAATATGTGTGTGTTTTTTCTTTGTTGTATACGTATCCGCCGTGTAGAAGAGTAGCGAATCCCCCTGCCCCTCCAAGCTCCCCCCAACCCCTTTTCTCCGATGCGATCATTGTTGCAATCGATATCCCAATAAGTATGTTGTAGTAATATACACTTCTTACTATCGAAAAATAATCGTGAGTTTTCATTGCGTCGATCAGCACGGTTCGATATAACGCCACGTAGTGCATTAACAGATAACAGTTGCTTTTATCATTATTATCCTTTGAGTTTATCATTTCCCTTATCGTTCACTCGAGAATCAATATATATATATATAGGTCAAGTGTTGTTATAAATTTTTTAATTTTCTCGAAGATATTTATTTTTAAAATGATAACTTATTAATAATCGATTGTCGGAGTTAGGCAGTTGTACTGTAATAATTATCAGCAGTGGAATTTTCAAAGAGTTTTCAAAAATTTCTGGAATACACGAGGAAAAGATAACGACCCAAAGATGGCGTTTGCAGTAGTCGTTGGACAACTAGCGCCACCAACTGTCGTTATCTCAACGACACAGATTCCTGGAAGTTTCGTTGTAATCTTCATTGAGAGAAACGTGATAGTAAAGGTTTACCAACGGTTAATTAAAGTCGATAGATTTTATCGCGTTGGTAATCTCTGTGGGAAACAAAGTGAACTTGACGCGATTAATCAAGCTTAATTAACGTCGTAAACTATGGGAGTGTCATCTTGCGGAATGGATAAAACGGGTTTAAACATCGTTCAAGTATCTCGTTTATCGATCAGCACAACGCGGCAGTTACTGTCTGAGATTTATTCCAGGATCGAATTTCTGTCTCACGGAAACGCGGCTGACGCTCAACTGATAAGCGTAGGCAATTAAGCTGATTGACGTCTCGTTTACGGCCGCCTCTATATCCGCGTATTGTCGTTTTAACGAATCATCGTTCTATTGGAAAAGCCACAGATCGGTGGGAATTTCGGTGACCGCTATCTGTTCGATTGTCGCCAACGAAACGCCCACAGCTGTTATCAATAAATATAAACTCGAAATCGAACGAAATTCACCTGACGATTTAGTAGACGAAAAAAATTAAGTAAAATTCATCAGGTAACTTTTTATACATCTTCGACACTACAAATGAGAAGGTTGACGAAATAAATGAATCCAGACATAGTCCATCGTTTTTTTCCTGTTTTTCTTACAAAAATACCTCTTTATTGTAAATGGATCGTCGACGGTAGTTACACGGAAAGACAGTCATCCATCCACAGAGAAGCCTTGGGGGATCCCGACAATCTCAACGGCGAGGAAATTTTTTCATTTTGCGTTTCATATTACTTCTTTTTTTTTTTTACCTTTTTTTCCGCTTTTATTTTTTTTTGAATTAACACTCATGCTTTGGCAGCTTTATTTATTCTTACGTGTCTTGTGTTTTCGTAATGTATGTGTATGTAAACGTGTTTAACGTGTCTCTGTAAAATCCCTTATGCGATATACCGTTTATTTATGTTTTTTTTTTTTTTTTCTTATCGTTTCCTTAGCGTTTGCGATTCTTTCGTTATTTGTTTTTTTTTTTTCTTCGTCGAATATTTGATTAACACACTTAGACAGTGATAGTGAAGTCTTTGGGTGATTTGGAGAGCGAGTTAGAAGGAAAACCCGTCCTCTTCCTGTGGAGCTTCAGTTTCATGTCGATGTCGCACTCGGCCTCGCTGGTTTCGTGCGCGTCCGTGAAACCTGTCGGCGGTTTCAGTTCCAATGTAGACAGCTCGCTGCCCCAATCCTCTTCCCTCCTTGCCATCCTGGACGATCCTGGCTCCTCCAGCAGGCACAACGACTCCACGGACTTCCTCGGGCTCGGCTCTTTCCCCAGCCGATCGCAGGAGCCAGGCCTCGACGGTTGACTCGGCGATGCTCCCCTCGAATACGAATGCATCCCGGATTCCGAGAGCTTCATCACGGGGCGCAGGATCCCCGGCACGCGACCGTCCATCCCAATGTCGGGCGTTGCTCCTTGATTCCTGCAACGTTCGTTAGAATCACGTTTTGTGACTGAGGACGAAAATTTACTCCATGAATTTTGGTTCACTTTTTTGTACTTTGAGGCTCCCTGTTAAGTAGAGATGTCGAGTTAACTCGTCATTGATTAAATAGTACACAGAAGACATTGTTTGTCTATATTTAATACGTTTTGTGACGGAGAACTAAAATTTACTTGATCAATGTTGGTTCAGTTTTTTGTACTTTGAGGCTCCCTGTTGAGTAGAGAGGACGAGTTAACTCGTCATCGGTTAAATAATATATAGAAGGCATTGTTTGTCTATATTTAATACGTTTTGTGACGGAGAACTAAAATTTACTCGATCAATGTTGGTTCAGTTTTTTGTACTTTGAGGCTCCTTGTTAAGTAGAGATGTCGAGTTAACTCGTCATCGGTTAAATAATATATAGAAGGCATTGTTTGTCTATATTTAATACGTTTTGTGACGGAGAACTAAAATTTACTCGATCAATGTTGGTTCAGTTTTTTGTACTTTGAGGCTCCCTGTTAAGTAGAGATGTCGAGTTAACTCGTCATTGATTAAATAGTACGCAGAAGACATTGTCTATTTATATTTAATATGTTTTGTGACGGAGAACTAAAATTTACTCGATCAATGTTGGTTCATTTTTTTGTACTTTGAGGCTCCCTGTTAAGTAGAGAGGACGAGTTAACTCGTCATTGGTTAAATAATATATAGAAGACATTGTTTGTCTATATTTAATACGTTTTGTGACGGAAAACTAAAATTTACTTGACGAATGTAGCTTTATTTTTTTGTACTTTGAGGCTCCCTGTTTTCTAGAGAGGACGAGTTAACTCGTCATTGGTTAAATAGTACATAGAAGACATTATTCATGTATAATTTAGTAATAATGACGAATGTAGCTTTATTTTTTTGTACTTTGAGGCTCCCTGTTTTCTAGAGAGGATGAGTTAACTCGTCATTGGTTAAATAGTACATAGAAGACATTATTCATGTATAATTTAGTAATAATATTTAGAAGGCAATTTTTTTATTGAAGAATTATTCATTTCGAAGTGTACTCTTATGTCTGTATTAAGAAGGTATAGTCGGTGGAAGCGATACAGCGAGGTGGTAAAATCTGTATAAATCGGTATGAGTGAAAGTTGCACTTATATCCTCTGAAAAAACTGAAATTTTTCATTTAGAAGTTACCTACGAAAAAGATTCCCAAACTTTACCTATTTCAAGATGAGACAAGAGTGGTTATCATTTTTACTCGTTTTGGATTATGAACCAGAGAAATTCAATTTCTGTTTGAGAGCTGAACCCAATTAACAGGTTAAGTCGAAGAAACTGGAAAATTAAATAAGTCAGCAACGATGGATTTATCGATCTATGTTTATCAAAGCTGCTTTTTTGCTGCATCGAGCAAATCCTCGAGCTTCCTGCCAAAGACCTTGCATGTGACAGAACTCATTTAGAGACATATGTAGCCATTAACACGTTCCGTGTCGTTCCGATGGTGCACGACAGTTTTCGGAAGTGGAACTTTCATTAAGCGAAAAAAGGATACCCTTCGAGTCAACGCAATCTACGTGCAAAGGGAGATTAAAGTGTCAAGAATTCAACCGTTTCGATATTTTCCTATAATTGAATATCTCTATGTGACTTTTTAACTTCGTTCTTAACTAGTAGAACTTGGAATTCTCGCGTGACACGAAACGCGTTAACTCTTTCATAGGACACTCGAGTAGTAGAATAAAAATTGATCTCGATTTAGTATCAATTACAGACGTGACGATCGTTAGATAAATAACGAATTCTCAACCCTTTCGCTGTGACGGATTTTGGTAAGTAACGCACTTCGAAGATGGTAGACATTCCACCAAAGCAGCAAAATCTTCCGTTTTCGAATTTCTTTTATTGAATTAAGGTGGAAGCGCGCAGAGGACAAAATGAAGGATTAAATTAAGGTAGAAGTGCGCTAAAAGGCTTCAAACAGCCACGTTACCTTCTTCAATTCTCAAGGCGCAAAGGGTTAAATTAATATTCAAGCTTGAATAATAATTCTCGAAAACTCGAGCATCATTCGAAAATCTACTTCTGTCAAACGTGAATAAAAATCTGGACGCCACAGAGAGAAACGAAATAGTCGACGCTGAATGAAAGGGTTAAATATAATTTGGGCACTAAAGGGTTAACAGCGGAACGAAACGACGCAAGATAAAAAATCTCGACGCCAGAGAGAAAGGAAATAGTCGACACCAAACGAAAGGGTTAAAAATAGCAATTTTGGCACGAAAGGGTTAACAGCGAAAAGAAACGACACAAGATGAAAAAAAAAAATCGAAAAAATTCCCCACCGAACGATCGTACCTTTGCTTCTCGAGCCTCGGGAAGGTCTTCCTCTCAGAAATTGGTGACGGCTCGGTTGATGTACTTGATTCGTGCGTGTGGTACAGCACATCTGGAAGGTGCACGCGAGACACGTTGATGCGAGAAACGTGAGTCGTTAGTGGCGACTTGGATGCTGTTTAAAGGCTGTTGCCGGCGTCGACACAGAAAATCGAATACTAACTTACTATGATGAACCGGCCTCGGGACCAGGGCTAGTCGCTGCTCCCTCTGTACGATCGAGTTCGGCCCTGGTGATCGCGTCATTATCGACGCTGGTCCAGAGTCGTCCAGATGATTTGAGGACTCTGTACGACTGCTGGTACCAACTTCCGTGTCGCTGTCCGAGCCCAACGTGTCGTACTCCTCTGACTCGGATTTGAACGACTTCGACTTCCGTCTCGCTCTTCCTCGTACCTTCGTGTACTGGTCCATGTCGCACTGCAACGTATAGAAGTCATCTATGCTCTACAGAATAATTATACGTACTATCAGAACGATTAGATTGCCATATCGGTACGGGTATTGCGAGATTTAGGTAATGATCGTAATAGAAGGAAACGAATAGAAGGAGAGAATATTGCAACTACCACTTTGTTCGTGTCTCTAAAAGGAGAATTCCCTATTGAGATATACACATACACAGGCACACACGGTTAGTAACAAGTTTTTCCCAACCACAGAGAGGAAAAGACATTTACTCTGAAGCAAAGTCTCAGCCAGAATCCAACGTAAGCTCGAATACGATACATCATACGGAAGTCGTCTTACATCTATACGCAACCATCGAGACTACGCTACTTTGATCTCTCCGGGTATCCGGGTACGTGTACACGAGCAATACATCATCGAGTCTGATCTCTCGTTCTCTATCGCGCTCGATCGTGCACACTGTTACATATATAGTATGTTTCGTCTGCTCGTCTGTCGATGAAGATACATTTCTTTTACCCGCGTAAACATGGTGTACGGTGTGTGTGAGAGAGAGAGAGAGAGGAGACCAGAGACGTCGTTTTTCGATCGATTAAATTACTTCCTGTAGATGAGACAGATGTGGAAGGAGTAAAGTCGGTGGAACAAATATAGCGAGGTCGTAAATTAAAGCGTCAAGTGGTGGTGTAGTTTGATCTAGCCGTAGGTGGGATATGGTATTCTGTTTTAGAGTTTGTACGATAGGAGGATCGTAACTGACGACTAAGGGTGGCGTATGTATAGTCGATGGAAGAAATACAGCGCGACGGTGATACGTCAAAGTTTACACGTTCGAGCGTATCGATAGGAATTTGAGAAGATAAGGACCTGAAAGCTTAGATGAAGTACGCCTCAGGTTTGATTCAGTCTTAATCGAAAAATATAAAATGGTCGCATGTCGCTATATTTATTACACCGACTATACATTATACGGTTTTCACCGAGGATTTGGGTACTTATCTTCTCATAATCCTGTCAATTTCTTGTTAGAACACTCGAAATATGTTTACTTCGACTCCTGTCCGATTTTGCGAACTCGCTATATTTCTTCCATCGACTATACATTGTACGATCCAGAATTGAAGTCTTTGTCTTCGCATAAAATTTTGTCAATTCCTCGAGAGTATACTCGAGACATGTTTACTTTGACTCTTGACTAATTTTATAAATGCGCTATATTTCTTCCACCGACTATACATTATAAGACCCTGAATTCGGATCCTTGTCTCCGCATGAAATTTCGTCAATTCTTTATTCGAACACTCGAAACACGTTCCCTTTGATTTCTGACTGATTTTGCGAACTCGCTGTATATTTCTTCCACCGACTATACATTATACTAACTGAGTGTTCGGGTCCTTGTTAATTTCTTGTTAGAACACTCAAAGTATGATATCTGACCTTTGACACCTGACCGATTTTACGATCTCGCTATATTTCTTCCACCGACTATACATTATACCGCCCTAACTGAGAGTTCGAATCCTTGTCTCCTCACAATTCTGTCAATTCCTTGTTAGAACACTCGGAACAAGTTTATTTCGACTCTTGACCAATTTACGAGTGTGTTATACCTATTCCACCGACTATACATCTCGATACAAAGAACAAGTAGTACTTTCGAAAGATGTTTTTTCTCTTTTCGAGGTGTTATACGGGTGTTTGTGTTGAGTACTCGTACCTGATTGCCCTGCAGCATCGTTTCGCTGCGTTCGTAGTAGAACGCCTGTCGCATCGGGTTCGCCGACAGGTTTTCCTGCTCGGGCAGATTGAAGGTGGCGTACGGATAAATGTCTTCGGAATATTCGGGAATTCTTTCCAGCGCGCTCACCTCGCGACAGGGCGATTGCTGGCCCGGTTTCCTCACCGTCGCGTAGTACTGTTCTCTTTGCTCCATGTTGTGCTTGTTCTCCAGCGCAGCCTGTGTTTGCGAGTTTGGATCGTTTGCTCGCCCAGATCTTTCAGCGTCTGTAATCGTTGTCGTTCCATAGAAAACACTTTTTCATTGATGAAATACAAGTAATATTTTATATTTCCTAACGAACGAGACTCTAAAATTTGTGTCAACTTTTACTAGGTTTATGGCTAAAGTTTGAGTCTCTGGTACCTCGTAGCAATGTCTAGTGTTTCGTAGAATTCAAATTTATAACACTTTTTCACGAATAAACTACAAGTGATATTTCATATTTCCAGAGAAATGAGATTTCAAAATTTATGTCAATTTTTACAAAGTTTATGGCCTTTTTGTACTAAGTTTAAAGTCTCTAGTACCACAAAGCAATGTGTAGTGTTTCGTAGAAATCAAGTTTACAACGCGTTTTCACCGACAAAGTACAAGTGATATTTCACATTTCCAGACAAATGAGATTTCAAAATTTATGTCAATTTTTACAAAGTTTATGGCCTTTTTGTACTAAGTTTAAAGTCTCTAGTACCACACAGCAATGTCTAGTGTTTCGTAGAAATCAAGTTTACAACGCGTTTTCACCGACAAAGTACAAGTGATATTTCACATTTCCAGACAAATGAGATTTCAAAATTTATATTAATTTTTACCAAGTTGAAAGTCTCTAGTACCACACAGCAATGTCTAGTGTTTCGTAGAATTCAAATTTATAACACTTTTTCACGAATAAACTACAAGTGATATTTCATATTTCCAGAGAAATGAGATTTCAAAATTTATGTCAATTTTTACAAAGTTTATGGCCTTTTTGTACTAAGTTTAAAGTCTCTAGTACCACAAAGCAATGTGTAGTGTTTCGTAGAAATCAAGTTTACAACGCGTTTTCACCGACAAAGTACAAGTGATATTTCACATTTCCAGACAAATGAGATTTCAAAATTTATATTAATTTTTACCAAGTTTAAAGTCTCTAGTACCACACAGAAATGTCTAGTGTTTCGTATAAATCAAATTTACATCGCGTTTTCAACGATAAAGTACAAGTGGTACTTCATATTTCCTGACGAATCAGATTCCAAAATTTGTATCAATTCTCACTAAGTTTCTGGCTTTTTTTACTAAGTTTAAAGTCTCTAGTGCCACATAGCAATCACAGAAGTCAAGTTTACAACTCGTTTTCACTGATAAACTACAAGTGATACATTGTATTTCCTGACAAATGAGATTCCAAAGTTTCCTTCAATTTTTACCAAGTTCGTGCCGAAATTTAAGGTCTCTGATACCACGTAGCACCGTCTAAGACCACGTTCCCCAAGACTTCACCTAACTCCGTCACGTTACCAGAGAGAATTTCGACGCTCAGCCTTGCCAATCTACCAGGGAACTTTCGACCAACAAAGGACCCCGTCGATTAAACTTATAATTGCCCCCGAGGTGCAACTAAGCGCCAACACGTTGCTCGAAAATATGAGAAAAAAGAAATAGTTCCGAACGTTATATCCCGGAACACCGGAACAAGACGAAATTTGCCCAGGAGGCAACAAACAGGGATAAACAGGAACACCCAAAATTCCGCGCAGCGATCGAGAAACCCCGGGACATTATCGACTCGCAGCGGACGCATAAATATTTGTCGGTCGTTCCGCGCGTTAGCATCAACAACGCCAAGTATAATTGCACGAAGCGCACGCGTCAGCCTAGTTCGCCGGGCTTTTAATTAATCAAATCGCTCTCAGCGAATATCCGGCGGTAATGTTGACAGTCGGCGGCGGTAAGTGTGTTCCCTTTCGGAAAACAAAGAGGAGAAATCTTGAAAAAGTGTAAAGAGACAGAGGTGGAACGTGAGGAAGGATAGAGTAGGAAAATCAGGAATCGATTTCCATCCACTAAAAAGCGATATTCACGAGGCTGGATGTTCGTGAAAGTCGTATCCTTGCTGGTATAGGTAACTGGAGCACAATCCTGCGACGTTTAGCTACTCAATAACGACGAGTGGCACGAGTACGGCGCCAGCACGCCCTTCTAGCTTAATGCAAATTGCCACCGCCTGCTGAAATCCTATCCGAACCGAAATCACCGGCAACGTCGATTCGTGGCCCTTCGATCGAGACCTATCGTGTTTCTTTCGACGATCGATCAAATGTGAATAGGAGGGTGGATTGAAAGGTTCGTGGTTTGAGAATGAAGAGCTGTTGGTGGGTGCTTGTAGTTTTTAGTGTGTAATCGTTGTTGAAAGGAGCGTGATAAGAGGGTGCCTTGGCTACCGGTGGTACTTCCGCTTGGTTTCTGAAATTTTTTCTCGATTTCTTGGGGGCTCAGCCGTGATGGAGGCATCTATGTAGGAGCACATGGGACGGTGACGGTGAGGAATCGAAATTGTGTTGTGAGGGGAACGTGTGAGAGGGTTGCACGTCTCACGGAAGAGTTTCGGCTAAGTGGGTTGCCTCTGAGAGGGGCAGTGTACCTTAAAATGTAGAGATAGAGAGAGAGAGGGAGAACAGAGTGAGAGAGAAGAGAGAGACAGAGTCCAGAGAGAGTTCAGAGTGAGAAGAGAATAAACAGACAGAGACCAGAAGGAAAAAGAGTCCATAGAGAGAGAAAGAGGACAGAGATTCCAGAGGAGTACAGGGGAGAGAGAAAGAGGACAGTGATTCCAGAGGAGTACGGGGGAGAGAGAGAGAGAGAGGGACAAAGACAGAGAGAAGAGAGAAAGACAGAGACCAGAAAGAAAGAGAGTCAAGGAGAGACTGAGTCCAGAGAGAGAGAGAGAGAAGAGTTTTGAAGTGCTTTTATGACATTCGAGGGCGAATTTTAGCGCAGGATGACCAAATATGTGACTGAGGCCTCAATACCCATCAAAAGGAGGGTAACAACAACGAAGAGTTCAAGAAGACACCTTAGCTATGGGCACGCAGAGTCTCAGCTTGCCCACCGAAGATCACGAATTCGATTCTCACTTTGGTCCCTCAAATTGTCCCCGGACTTCCACAAAAACGACAAAGCCACGAAACTTCCTACATCGTTACACAGTAAAAATTACAACCACCCACCAACAGTCTTCCACACTCAAACCACCAACTTTTCAATCCACTCTTCAAAAACATTGCAAAATTTAAACGATCGATCCTTCGACCAGTTTACCATATACCTGCGCATACTTCGATCAATCCAGGATATTTTATAGCAGAGTTTCAGAAAGAGTTTGAGTTGAGTCCGATAGAGATCGACGAAGTATGGTTCCAGCGAACGTAATTGTGGAGGACGATGGTTAGGAAAGGTAGTTTCGGCGATGGGTAAAGGTGAACGTGTCGGGATGAATTTCACGGCGTACACGGTTCTAGAGACGAAATTTCGACGTTACGATATGAACCGCGGAATCGCGATTTTCGCAGGTTATATGTTTAAATATATGTTTGCCCAACTAGGATCGTTAATTGAACATCGATTGCTTCTTTGTTTGACACCGACACGCGGAAATTCCTGTTTGAATACAACGAAGCGCACGCCATCCTCCCTTCCACTTCGCGTCCATTTTAATTATATGTACGGTTATTTGAACGCGCACGCGGTCGTGCGTCTATCGAAACGCAGAAATGAATTTGAATTTTCCGGGCAAATGGCGAGCGAATTTCCTCGATTGCCAGCTCGTACGGGAAATGTGTCCTGAAATTCTCTGTCGGAGTCGCGGAGGATCACTTGACTTCACACGTCTGTTCTATGTTTAATTAGATACAGGTGTTATGGTCGTTTCATAAGTTCGTGATGAATTTCATAAATTTGATAAGAAAAAACGTAAGAGGCTTCTCGTTTCACAACTTTTCCTTATTTTGGGGGAAAGACGATTATGTCGTCGCTATAGAATTTCCTTGGATTTTCTTTCAAATACTTTTCGCTTTCGGTACGAACAAGGGGCACGTTGATTGGTAATTTGTACTTTCGTGAAAAACCAATCAGCGTGCCTTCTTGCACCGATTTTCTTTCAAATACTTTTCGCTTTTGGTACGAATAAGGGGCACGTTGATTGGTAATTTGTACTTTCGTGAAAAACCAATCAGCGTGCCTTCTTGCACTTGGCGGGGGAGTCACGGCGGACTCTAGAAAAAATCGGTGATCGACACCGACATTCGTAAAGATACTCTCGAGCAGCAAACCGATACCTCCGAGCTCTCGAGTCGAACATATATGTCTCCAACTCTCACTGGCTCTATCGGTTTAAAATCAGTTACCCAAGATCAATTTGGCGGGTAACAGTCGCGAACGCGAGTTGACCATTTACGAAAAGCGCGTCGCGACACTATCGCGGAAGCGTATATATACGCGCTTTGTTGCACCGTGTCAATATTTTCTAATACTGATAGGAACAACTTCATCGAGAAAATTGTAGAAGCGTTGTGTACTTTGTTCACCCCCAATAAAAGGAAAAAAACAATTTATCAGTGCGTTAACTACCAACTAGCTATATACATTGACCATTTCAAATCCTATCACACTGCACAAAACAATTAATCTATGTGTAGATTCTTCAAATTAATGAAATATTAAGTTTTCTTTATACTTTCTGAAATATTTGTAATTAAATTTAATCAAAAAAAAGTCGTATTAACACTTTACCGACCGATAGCGGTTGAAGATCCCACGCACTTCCGACCGCTCACTCGGCCACAGATACGTCGCTGACACCGGCTCTGTTTAGACTCTAAGCTTTCGCGCGGGAACATATGCGCTTTTTCTTATACCTATAGAAATGTTAAATCAAACTTTGACCGATTAATAGGCTGTCGGTAAAAAAGCGTCGGCGGCAAAAAAGCGAGTAATAGGCTGTCGGTAAAAAAGCGTTGGCGGCAAAAAGCCGATTATTAGGTTACCGGTCGGTAAAGTGTTAAGGTCCTATTTTCCACTTTTTTCAAATGACACAAATGGGTTAATAAAGTGAAATTTTATTAATTACAAATTTTTTTATTTTCTTTGTATGTTCCCTTGAACTCAGTAGCTTTTAAACGCCGCGCAGACATTGCTTACAAACGCGATACAGTAACAGCATGCGTACACAGCGAATATATATGGAAATATAAAAATACGTTGTTCGTTAACTAATAATCAAAAAGAAATTGGACTTACGTGTTTTCAAGCAAAAGCAAACGCCAGCAACCGCGAGGAACACGGCCAAAAGAGAGATCACGCTGGGCGCCAGCACGTGGGCGTCGAAAAACAACGAGGTCTCCTCGGTTTCCGGCGGATGCTCGTCGTGTATTCGATTACTGCCGCTCGGTGACAGCGTGCTGAACAGGTATTCGGCCTCCGTGGAACCTGCGTTGTTGTACGCGGTGACACGCAGCTCGTATTTAGTGCCGGTTTCCAAATTCTCTATAGGGAACCTCGGTTGTGGCGACACGTTATTCTTCACTGTAACCAAATTACGATAGTTCGATCAAACAGGCTGCGCGCACTCTTAATGCTCTGTAGCAGAATCAATCTTCCTCTGTTTATACGTATTGTACAAATTTTCAATCAATCTACTCTTTATGTTTCTTTTCGTTATCGTTGACATAGCAATTCTGCTATTTTTAACTAAAATGTCCTATCTACCATTTTTTCATTTTCCAGAATGTATTGAAATATTTAAACAAAGTTGGAATGTCATCTGTGATTTGTAGAACTTTAGAAGTAGCCTAATTCAATTTTCCTAACTGTTTCACAGATAATTTAAAATTGCAAAGCCTAACTTTCCTCAGATATTCAAAAATATTAGTTAAAACAGTTAACCTTAGTTGGGAAGAATTCTAGTTACTCCAGGAACTCTGAAAAACACCAAATTCCTTTTCATCGATAAAAAAAAGGAAAATAAAAGAAATCACAGTTGACAAAAAATTACAACACAGAAGATCAATTAAAGAAATCTTACCCAGCAACCAATCGCCAGGCTGTCTCCTATACTCCACGACGAAGTACAACAAAGGACATCCTCCATCTTGCCAGGACGTCAACTCCAACGTGACGAAAGTCTGATTCACTTTAATCAGCTGATGCTTCGTAGGTGAAATCGGTTTGGTCCCGTTTGTCTTCGCCGTCTCGATTTTACTCGCGCTCCCGCTGCCGATCCTGTTGAAGGCCGCAAGAGTGAACTGGTACCTGGTGCCGCACTGCAAGCCCTCCAGCAGATGCGTGTTCGCCTTTCGATCCAGCATCACTTCTTCCCACTCGGAGAACTCGCGACGATAGGCCAGGAGGAAACCCTTGATGGGTGCGCCGCCATTGTCGCCCTGCTTCCATTGCAGCTGAACAGCGTCGGTTGTGGTGCCGGTGGCCAGCAGTGTCGGCGGAGTTGGCGGGACTGCGCGCAAAGTTGCTCGATTACTGGCGCGTTTGGATTGATCGCGCGGGAACGTCTGGTCGACTGATTAATCGCGCGGAACAATGAACGGGAGCAGTTTGTGAACGGAGAAGGTGCACGAAGAGGAAAAGTGGTTTCGTTTAACGTCTAACCGAAACTTCACCGAATTGTACACCAAGTGTCGCTGTTACGACGAAACTTGAGAGGAATTTGTAATTTACAGGAGGACAATGAACAATTCGCGAAATCAGAGAACACAGAAACTTTCCAGCTGTGTATTGTGTTTTTGCTGAACTTCTCGGTAGCTTGAAATAAAATTATCTTTCGATTCTCGACGGAAAGTCAGGTGAAAAAAAAAGAAAGAAGAAGAAACTTATTCCACGACGTGGACACAATATGTTCGACCATGTTTTTCGTTAACTTTCCCGTCACGTACGAACTGTATAACGTTGCGACGGTGAAATATTGTATCGTTTCGTAGCGTACACGACGTCCGAGGTAACGAAGGATCGTGCAACGGCGTGTATTCAGCATCGTTTCCTTCAGAATTCGCGTACGAATTATTCGATGGGCGAATAACAGCACGGCCATCCGGAACGGGAACATAGTTCGGCGTAACTTTTAACGAACCCTTCCATCGTCGGGACGTATTCTTGCCCCCCTCGCTGACCTGTTACCATTGTCTGCCGTCGTTGGTAATACGCGGGACACACGCTAGACGATTTTTCCACGCGAACGTGGCCCGTTGACCCGATTCGTTTTATCCGAACGCGGTTATACCCGCGATATTGTACGCCTTCCGCGGGAATAACGTTACGGGAGACGAGCAGTAAACCCTTTACGGCACGTAGACGTGAATTGCCATCTTCCACGCGATTGCAACGGAAATTCTAAATTGAACAACTGGGATATATAGATGTGCGAAAGGAAATTTACTTGGCGGTGATGTCTCAAGCAGATTTTTCGAGGAGCTTCAAGTTTGGGAGGTAAAAGAGGTAATCTAATTAAGTTTTAAGAAAAATTGTTTTCGTTGGAAGAAATGGCAAAAAATGAAAGGAAGTTTCACGTTCGATTTTAAACTTTGGAGTAAACATACAGTAGAAAAAAATATATACATTTATGTAAATAAATATAGGTGACATTAAAAGAAGACAAAAGAAATTTTTCTTCCATCTTATTCACCTTCCGAAATTATTTAAGTTACGTATAAAAATTTTCTCAAGGGCAAAGAGATTCCAGAGGTGGAGGGGAGACAGAGAAATTATTTAAATTATGTATAAAAATTTTCTCGTTTCACTGTAGTTAAAAAAATAATTAGGCGGTCTGTTTTACGTCTGTTTTACCGCCCTGTATATTTTTTCCCTTTAATGCTGAATAAAATCGTCATTAATCTGATTGCTAGCTAACACGTTCGCTGTCACCCCAAAAGTCAAGAATTCGTAGAATCCAAGATTCGTAGTCTGGATAGTTAAGCACACACGCTAGAGGTCCCTATTTCACGCGTATTAACCGTAACAATGCTACAACCCGTGTATTTAGAGGTCTCTATTTCACCTGTATGTATCTCTTTCTTATCTCTGTTCCCGTTGTATTATGTCGAAATTTGTTACCGTTATCTGCAACCAGGGAATTTGTAAATCCATATTTTGTTTCCGCAAAATACTCGTATAAATATACTTAAATACTCAGGTATCCGTGTATTACGTTAAACATTACACGCATTTAAATACACGTGAAATAGGAATCTCTAAATACCTACACGTGTATAGTTGGTGGAAGCGATATACACAGTGAGGTGGTAAATTGAAGCATTAAACGGCGACAGCAATTGATGTAGCCGCGCCAAGGGTCATTCGTCATTTGTGAATTGATGTCTAAAATTTCTGCTTACAATTTTTCATTCGAGCTGTACGGTATTAAACATTTGTCGCTTCCTGTTCAATAGTAACTGTCGTATTGGTCTCTCAACGATTAAGGCGCAAACAAATTTTTTAAACAGGTATACTGCAGTGGAAGACGAAATTCTGAGTTGACATCGAACGGCCCTGAGCAAGGCTCGAGTTCCTTGCCTCCCTCGAATTTATGCGAGGGCTAGAAATTTCAATCAGTGTCGCATGAAGTATGTCTTAACTTCGATTCAGTCCCAATCGACGATCATAAAATGCTTCATATCGACCCTGAGTGTTATTGCATCAGTTGGTACCGCTGCTTAACGCTTTAATTTACGACTCCGCTATATTTCTTCCACCGACTATACATTTTACGGCACTAACTGAAGATTCAGGTCCTTGTCTTCTCCTAATCCTGTCAATTTTTTGTTTGAACACTCGAAATATGTTTACTTTGAATTCCAACCGATTTTACGACTCCGCTATATTTCTTCCACCGACTATACATATTACGGCACCAACTGAAGATTCAGGTCCTTGTCTTCTCCTAATCCTGTCAATTTTTTGTTTGAACACTCGAAATATGTTTACTTTGAATTCCAACCGATTTTACGAGCTCGCTATATCTCTTCCACCGACTATACATTTTACGGCACTAACTGAAGATTCAGGTCCTTGTCTTCTCCTAATCCTGTCAATTTTTTGTTTGAACACTCGAAATATGTTTACTTTGAATTCCAACCGATTTTACGACTCCGCTATATTTCTTCCACCGACTATACATTTTACGGCACTAACTGAAGATTCAGGTCCTTGTCTTCTCCTAATCCTATCAATTTTTTGTTTGAACACTCGAAATATGTTTACTTTGAATTCCAACCGATTTTACGAGCTCGCTATATCTCTTCCACCGACTATACATTTTACGGCACTAACTGAAGATTCAGGTCCTTGTCTTCTCCTAATCCTGTCAATTTTTTGTTTGAACACTCGAAATATGTTTACTTTGAATTCCAACCGATTTTACGAGCTCGCAATATCTCTTCCACCGACTATACATTTTAGGGCACTAACTGAAGATTCAGGTCCTTGTCTTCCCCTAAACCTGTCAATTTTTTGTTTGAACACTCGAAATATGTTTACTTTGAATTCCAACCGATTTTACGAGCTTGCTATATCTCTTCCACCGACTATACATTACAGGGCCCTGAATCCAGGTGCTTGTCTTCACATAAAATTCTATCAATTTTTTGTTAGAACACTCGAAATATGTTTACTTTGAATTCCAACCGATTTTACGAGCTCGCTATATTTCTTCCACCGACTATACATTACAGGACCTTGAATCCAGGTGCTTGTCTTCACATAAAATTCTATCAATTTTTTGTTAGAACACTCGAAATATGTTTACTTTGAATCCTAACCGATTTTACGAGCTCACTATATTTCTTTCACCGACTATACATTACACGATCCTGAACCATGTGTTTGCTACCGCATAAAATTCTGTCAATTGGATTTCTGACCAATTTTACGATCTCGCTATATTTCTTCCTCCGACTATACTCCTCTACAGCACAACAGCGTTATCGACCTTTAACATAACCACCCAACAAGCGTAATCAACTCTACCACGCGAGACACCTCATTTCCAACCGCGTATACTGTATTCATATCAGATAACGCGTTAAACGATACAATATTCCAGAGCAACACCAAAAAGTCCGAAAATACCAGAACCATCCGTTTCCCCTCGCGATCCCCTTCCACTTACCTTGTACTTGCAGCGTGTACACGATTTCGTCCGAGCCAAGGGAATTCTTCACGTGGCAGGAATAGTTGCCCTCGTGGGTCCTCTGCACGTTCCTCAGCGTTAACGCGTTGTCCGGTCCGATGTCACTTCTGTCGAGTTGAAAATCCACGATCACTCTCTCTCACACACACACACGCGCGCATACATCTACACATATTAAACGATCGTATACGGTTCACACTTACTTCTGATGGAGCTTTACGTCGCCGCGACGCCATTCTACCGTCGGTCGTGGATTACCGACGGCGAGACAGGCCATATTGACGTCCACCCTCCAAGGCACCACGAGCGGCACTCCGAACGATATTATAGCTGCTGGAACTAATTAAAAGTCCCGGTTATCCTTGCTCTTCGTTAAACTTCCTCCAGCTATGATCCGTGTTTGAGTTCACTTTCCAAACTTCCCTCGTCCATCCACCCACTCTACCCTTCCTCCTCCACCACCTCCTCCTTCACCCGACTCACTGTTTCTCCCGAGGTAGGAATTTTTAACAGGTCGTCCGTGAGACGAAACTCGAGGAACGCGGGACGATTTCAATTATCGAACATCGGTGAACAAGAGACCGATTAAAGTACAGAAATGTCCTCGAGTCAGCTTCCTGTACATACCACCTCAATCAACTTCTACATCCTCATAGGTTCAACTCAAACCCGAAGAATCGTAAAGGAAGCATCGATTAAACGTCTCATGCATGAGTGTGTTAACAAAGCGAGCAAGCTTAGAGAACGTTCTTACGAACAAGTATCTTTCTCTCTCTTGTTTCACGAGAAATCGTTGGAGTTTTCACCTTTGAGAAGCTACGGGGAAACGAAGAGGTGATGTTACCCAGAGAATAACACAAGTTAGAGTAACAAAAAACCGACGATTACGCGTAGGTATTTTATTCCCTTCGGGGACAAGTCTGGCGAATTTTTTCATAAAACTTCCACGTTCAGTGGCCCAATTTCCCGCGTGTGTTTCTCATCGAGTTCTGTGTTTCAACTCTCGCCGATTCCTCCGGGGAGAAGAAACAGCGGGAGAATTGGAAGAGAGGAAGGGAAAAGTAGCGGTGGAGGGTTTTAGCTCGAGAAGGTTGATAGTAAATTCGAAGGAAGAGAAACGTTCCTTCCGTAAGGAAAGTTTAGCCAGACGATTCGGCTTACCAGTATTGCTTAGCTGAAGTTTGATGACCGGAGTGCTAGGTCCTTGTCCCACTTTGGTCGAGGCTGTAACCCAGGCCTCGTAGGACTCGCGCAGCTTCAAACCGGTCGCCTCGTAGTGCAGGTTCTGCGCAGGCAGCAAGCTCGTAGTGATCTTCACCTCCTGGCCCTGGTCCAACACACGGATGTGAACGGTGTACTTGGTGAGGATGCCGTTTGGCCGTCGCGGTGGCAGCCAGGATATCACCACAGCGTCCTCGTTGCTGGTCACGGCTTTCACGCGCTCCGGCGCGTCCGGTACTAGAGGAAAGAAAGAACCAGCGTGATATCTGCGCCGGAAGTGGAGCGGGAGAATGGGGCGGATAGGCAGGCAGGAAAACGTTGCTCGGAGTCGATGATCGATCGAGATATGGACTGGTTGATAAGGAAATTCTAAAAAATTTGGAACTTTGCGGAAGTGTAGGATATGTAGGGGAGAGTCGTGCAGTACCGGCCGCTCTAAGTTTTTGTACTATAACTTGGGCTAATGTTGGTAGAAATGAAATTTCAAAAAAGTCGTTTGTAGTACAAACGGTGCTTGATAAAAGGGGACAAATGATTTTTCTTAAATTTTCTCACAAAGATAAATCATTCGTAGAAATAAAAAAGTTGTAATTTGCAGCGAACGAAAAATTGTCGTACAGTACCGGCCGGCTACTTATTGTTAGTTGGTACATTTTAAGGTCTGAGTAATAAATGATGTTAGTAAAAATCATTTGAAAATCGAATAGAACTTTTATTTAGGCATCGATATTTTCTTGATCCGTACACTCCACGCGAGCCCAACCATTGCAGCTATGAAAAACAACTTTCGTCGTACGGAACACCAGCGTAAACGTTAAACGTCTTAGAACTCTGGTAATACTGAAGAAAGAAGAACATCGCCGGAATACGTTGCTCAGGGCTATAGTATTCATTTGTTTTTCCATCAATAGTGCAGTCAACTAACAGTATAAGCGAGATCTAGCTTTGGCCGGTACTGCACGAATCTCCCCTATGCAGCTAGAGTGACGATAACGATGGAAGCAGTTTTTGGGGGTGAGAATTAACCCCTTAACCGATGATTTCTTTTCTGATTATACATCTAAGCGTCAGTCATTTAGCGTTTCATTAGCGTATCAGCCAACAAAAGTTAATCTGTTTTAGATTAATTACATTTGGTAATCCTCAGTGTTAGAAATTAAAACGAAAGTTAGGGTTACAACGAATTTTTCTTGTTAATATAACCAGTTTTGTCGTATCTTGAGTAGAATCTCTGTCACGAGTGGTTACAACACGAATTTTTCTTGTTAATATAACCAGTTTTGTCGTATCTTGAGTAGAATCTCTGTCACGAGTGACTCGTTGTTATAGGTTAAGGGGTTAGAGCGTAGAAAATGTGGGGAAAATGTTGAATTTAATGTATTAGGTGTAGAAATGAATTCGCGTAATTTAATCAAAGCTGCCAGAAGAATGGCAAAAGGTTATTAAGAGTAATGCAAATTATTTCGATGATTGATCTGCTTTTCTGTTTTTTTAAATAAAACTTTTATTGCACCCAAAAGTGGAAAGAATTCATTTCTACGCTTGATAGTATAATTTCTTTATGTCCTACATTACGGCGGTTAAGAATTTCTGA